CTCCAACCAGATCGGCCTTCGAAAGGAAGATGTTCAAGCTTTATGGAGATCAATAGCTTCTGGGAAGTACACAGCTGGAGCAGCTAAGTCCTCTTGTATAAGGAATCCAGTGCTGAGATATGTCCACAAGATCCTGATGTAAGAACCAAGGGGTTCCCACGGGTAACAAGGTGGTGGTGAGGCAAAGCAGGCGGTCGCCCTCTCTTTGGCTCGGTGAATGAACGTAGGATGGGGATCTGACACGCAGGCGGTCGCCCTCTCGTGTGGGATCTAGAGATGGTGTGTAGGCGGAGTGAATACACGACACAGAGGGATGTTGATTCTCTGATATGGTGCAGGAGTTCACGCTTGCTTGAATCTCACAAGAAAGCAGTGAATGAGATGAGAATTAAATTACTTCTTTTCAATTTTAATGAAAAAAAAGCCGCTTCTCGTTAAACTTTGAAGAAAGTTCGTTCTTTTATTGATAATGGGAAAAAGGTTGGTCACTACAAAGCTGCGTGTGGGACTTTATAAATAGTCTGTCAGCTTGAACCTTCTAGGGTTCGACTCAAAGAAAAGAAAAGGACTCAAAACGACAGGACTTTGAAAGGAAATAACAAACCTAGTCTACGAAAACATAAACTCATCGTTTCATTTAATACAAAAATGGAAAGTTTGCTTAAGACTCTTTAAACTAAACTACTGACGTCGTTTTGATGTTGTACGTAGCCGTTGTGAGGGCCAAGATCACCTGCAAGAACGATATAATAATTGAAAAGCTTACCTTGGTGTGAAGGGTTCCGGTTGGCCGCTTGTGTAGCTGTGATGGCCGAGCTTGAGGCCGTGGCGTCCTTGGCTTGGAACCTTCTTGTAAAGTCTTCTAAATACTTTTCCAATGTAGCTAAGTCCTTGTCTTCAAGTCCCCAAGCTTTTTGGTGCTCCGTCCTAGTTTCTTGGTCTTCTTGGCCTTTCTCGGGTCCGAGTGGTGTATTGTGAAGCATCTCCAAACCTGCTCGTTGGAGGGACAAAAATCCACGTTCATTAGCCTCAGTATATATACTTGGACGAGAGATCTTACCTTTGTTGGAGGTTTCCAAGTCGTCTGGTGGCTCCAGCCCGGGGGTCTTTGATTTATCGACTAAATCTTGTACGGGCTCGGCCATCTCATTATCCGCTCGGGCAAACTTGTTTCTGTCTCGTCCGTTAGATTCAGCTGGTGATTTTGGTCGAGCAAGGTCAGCTTCAGTACGATAGATTCCATCGCCAAATTGGTCTGGCCGAGGTGATACTGATTTCTCGGCCAAAATCTCTCGCGTCTCGGCCAAAGTTTCTCGCGTATCGGCCATTTTGGAACCATCCTTTAGTTCTTCAGGTTTTAAGCCTGAAAATGACATTCTGCTCGGACTGTTAGCATTTAAATCAAAAACTGGTCGAGAGATAACCATTTTGGCCTGAGAGATTCGGTCATCTGATGGGTCATTTCTGGAACCCAAGTATTCGGCCCCGGTTTGGCCGCAAAGCTTGTTTAAGCCGTATATGACATTCGGGTCGGGCAACAACGGGTCGTCTGGATCTAGTGAGTTGATAAAGATGTGTAAGGCTCTCTTGTATCTATTTCTGAGTTGTTTAATCTTGGAGCGTGTCATGGCCCCGTCTTGGACGGATGGCATTAGCCCCGGTAAGGTCTTAGGGTCGATGTCCACATCATTCCCTCCCTCTTCTAAAGGTGTTGACCCCAAAACTTCTTCACCTGCATCAAAATAAGATAAGTCAACCACGTTAAAAGTGTGTGAAATGTTATACTCACCTGGAAGATCCAAACGATAGGCATTATCGTTGATCTTGCTCAAGACTTTGAATGGGCCGTCGCCTCTCGGCGAGTGTTTGGACGCACGCCGACCAGGAAACCTTTCTGTCCTCATGTGTAACCAGACCCAATCTCCTGGTTCAAATGAGACGTCCTTCCGGTCTTTGTCTGCGGCCTTCTTGTAGACTTCGGTCTTCTTTTCTATGTTGGTCTTCGCCGTCTCATATAGCTTTTTGAACAGCTCTCCTCGTCTCAATCCATCTAGATTGGTTTGGTCTACCTGTGCTATAGGTCTAAGATCCACTGGAGAAAGAGGGTTAGTACCGTAAACTATCTCGAATGGAGATAGTTTTGTAGCCGAGTGCCTTGCACGGTTATAAGCAAATTCTACAAAAGGAATGCAATCGAGCCAGGTGCTCATGTTTTTACCAAGTGAAGCCCTAAGTAGTGTAGATAAGGTTCGGTTTACCACTTCTGTTTGACCATCGGTCTGAGGGTGACATGTTGTGGAGAAAATGAGCTTGGTGCCTAGGTTTTTCCACAAGGTACGCCAAAAATGGCTGAGAAACTTGGTGTCTCGGTCTGAGATGATTGTTCTCGGGACCCCATGTAGACGTACGACCTCCTTGAAGAACAAGTTGGCTATTTGTGTGGCGTCGTTTGTCTTTTCACACGGTATAAAGTGGGCCATCTTAGAAAACCGGTCAACAACAACAAAAATGGAGTCCTTGTGCCTGATCTTGGGTAAACCTAAGACAAAATCCATCGAAATATCTACCCAAGGGGCGTTAGGTATAGGCAGAGGCATATATAAACCGTGAGGATGTGACCTGGATTTGGCTTTGTGGCATTGGATACATCTAGAACAGAATCGTCCCACGTCCCTTTTCATGTGTGGCCAATAGAAATGGTCCATCATGACAGCCAGAGTCAAATCCACTCCAAAGTGTCCCATTAAGCCTCCACCGTGAGCTTCACTACGCACTAGTTCCCTCATAGATCCCTGCGGAATGCACAAGCGTTTATCTTTAAAAAGAAAACCATTGTGTATATAGAAAGAACCTGTAGGTCCTTTGCAGCAATCGATATATGTTTCTCCAAGTTCAGGATCATCTTTGTATAGCGTCTTAATGTGTTCAAAACCCATACTTTGGCCTCCATGGTCGCTATAAGCGTATGGCGTCTTGATAACGCATCAGCTACCACGTTGTCTTTGCCCTTTTTGTACTTGATTACATAGGGGAAGGTCTCTATGAACTCAAGCCATTTAGCATGCCTTCGTTTAAGTGAAGTTTGGCCACGCAAATGTTTAAGGGTTTCGTGATCAGTGTGTATGATGAACTCCTTGGACAACAAGTAATGTTGCCATGTCTCCAATGCTCTAACTAGTGCGTACAACTCCTTATCATAGGTGGGGTAGTTGAGGGTGGCCCCATGGATTTTCTCACTGAAATACGCCACCGGCCTCTTCTTTTGGTGCAGCACAGCTCCGATCCCTAATCCGGAGGCATCGCACTCCACTTCGAACATCTCGTCGAAGTTTGGTAAAGCAAGAACGGGTGCTTGGGTGAGTCTTTCCTTCAAGGCTTGAAACGCTTCGTCTTGAGCTGTTCCCCACCTGAACGGAACGTTCTTCTTGATAACAGCCGTGAGTGGTGCGGCCACAGTGCTAAAATCTCTCACGAACCGCCGGTAAAAACTGGCTAGCCCATGAAAGCTTCGTACATGGCCGATGGTGGTAGGGGTAGGCCATTCTTGTATCGCCTTTATCTTTTCTTCATCCACCTGTAAGCCCAGTTCACTCACAACGAATCTTAAGAACACGAGTTGGTTAGTACAGAATGAGCACTTCTTAAGGTTAGCATAAAGGTCTTCCTTGCGAAGTGATTTGGGCACTAGTTCGAGGTGTGTAAGATGGTCATGTAAGTTCTTACTATATATAAGTATGTCATCAAAATAAACTACCACAAATTTACTTATATATTCTCGAAGAACCTGGTTCATTAATCGCATGAAGGTGCTAGGGGATCTAGAGATGGGAAAAAGGTTGGTCACTACAAAGCTGTGTGTGGGACTTTATAAATAGTCCGTCAGCTTGAACCTTCTAGGGTTCGACTCAAAGAAAAGAAAAGGACTCAAAACGACAGGACTTTGAAAGGAAATAACAAACCTTGTCTACGAAAACATAAACTCATCGTTTCATTTAATACAAAAATGGAAAGTTTTCTTAAGACTCTTTAAACTAAACTACTGACGTCGTTTTGATGTTGTACGTAGCCGTTGTGAGGGCCAAGATCACCTGCAAGAACGATATAATAATTGAAAAGCTTACCTTGGTGTGAAGGGTTCCGGTTGGCCGCTTGTGTAGCTGTGATGGCCGAGCTTGAGGCTGTGGCGTCCTTGGCTTGGAACCTTCTTGTAAAGTCTTCTAAATGCTTTTCCAATGTAGCTAAGTCCTTGTCTTCAAGTCCCCAAGCGTTTTGGTGCTCCGTCCTAGTTTCTTGGTCTTCTTGGCCTTTCTCGGGTCCGGGTGGTGTATTGTGAAGCATCTCCAAACCTGCTCGTTGGAGGGACAAAATTCCACGTTCATTAGCCTCAGTATATATACTTGGACGAGAGATCTTACCTTTGTTGGAGGTTTCCAAGTTGTCTGGTGGCTCCAGCCCGGGGGTCTTTCATTTATCGACTAAATCTTGTACGGGCTCGGCCATCTCATTATCCACTCGGGCAAACTTGTTTTTGTCTCGTCCGTTAGATTCAGCTGGTGATTTTGGTCGAGCAAGGTTAGCTTCAGTACGATAGATTCCATCGCCAAATTGGTCTGGCCGAGGTGATACTGATTTCTCGGCCAAAATCTCTCGCGTCTCGGCCAAAGTTTCTCGCGTATCGGCCATTTTGGAACCATCCTTTAGTTCTTCAAGTTTTAAGCCTGAAAATGACATTCTGCTCGGACTGTTAGCATTTAAATCAAAAACTGGTCGAAAGATAACCATTTTGGCCTGAGAGATTCGGTCATCTGATGGGTCATTTCTGGAACCCAAGTATTCGGCCCCGGTTTGGCCGCAAAGCTCGTTTAAGCCGTATATGACATTCGGGTCGGGCAACAACGGGTCGTCTGGTTCTAGTGAGTTGATAAAGATGTGTAAGGCTCTCTTGTATCTATTTCTGAGTTGTTTAATCTTGGAGCGTGTCATGGCCCCGTCTTGGACGGATGGCATTAGCCCCGGTAAGGTCTTAGGGTCGATGTCCACATCAGATCCTCTCTCACAGCTTCTTCTTCAAGCTTGATGTTGGGAGAGTTCATAAATGTGACCTGAATCTCTTTGGTGTGGGGCTGAAACAGTTGATGCCAACTTATGAAGATGGGAAGCCCTATGAAGGATATGGGGAAAGCGGCCGATACGTGCCAACCGCACATACTGGTACCATTTCATGCCTGTACTTTTGTGATGTGCCTACACGTTCCTGTACTTCATAAATTGTGTAAATTAATACCCGAACCGTATTTTTTTGGCCAAAACCTACATTGAATTTTGATCCGCTAGTCAACCCCGTTTAATTGTTAACGGTTGCTGACTCATCTGCCACGTTGGAACGAAACATTCGTATCCAACGAAACGACGTCGTTTTGCAAAATTCTGGGATAACAAAAGAATTTGTACCCACTGGGTGTCGAACCCAACACTTTAAGCATTTAACAACACCAGAAACCACTAAACCAGTTCGATTATGTGTATATAACCGGGATGTTATATTATATATAGAAACGAATGCCTTTTATTAGAAAAGATTTAATACGATGTTCCTTAATTATAAAGGGCTTTTTAAAACTTGTAGCCTCGAGTAATCGAACCCAGCTACTCAATCACTAAACCAATGCCGAAACCAATAGACCAATTCGATTAATTCGTATTCCTTCGAAAGGTTATAGTATATATATACAAACGAAAACCTTTTATTAGAAAAAATGAAAACGACGCTATAGTTATAAATGACTTTTTAAGAAATCTAATCTTCTTCGTCGAGCTTTGTCGAAAATTTTAAACCCAAAATCAATCAAACTTCACTATAGAAGCGTTGGGCATACCTAGATTCGCGGATGATAACACTGTATTTTGACCACTTTTATGGATCGTTTTGAAATTATTTTTCTATGTTTTTAATTGCTTTTAAGTACTTTATTACGTTTTTCTAGTATTTGTAGTTCCAAGACTCTTTTCAGGTAACTTAGGGAAAAGTTTAACAAAATGGATAGAAAACCAGATTTCAGCTCAGAGTCAAACCGTCAGAAGTTCACCCTCGATTGAAGGCCTTCTCACCATCTGATCCAGCTCAAATTTGGAGATCTTAAAGATGGAAGTATCAGCTTTCCAGAACACTTTACAGCTTGCCAATCCAACGGTTCAATCAAAAGATACGCGAAGAGCAAGATGTCCCGTAAACCAGCCGGCAAGCGTTTCCACCCGCGGCCAACAGAGAATTTCCCGCGGTCAGAAGCACCGCGACCGCGGCCAGCAACCCATTCCCCGCGGTCACAGCCATCCCGACCGCGGCCAACTACCTCCGAGCCCGAAGGCCCATTTCTGAAGCCCAAAATGATTCCCTCATTTGGAGAAACCCTAAGTGACGCCCAGAGATGTCTTGAGCAATATAAATACGTGTTTTAGGAACCCTAATTCGTATGCCTTCATATGTTCTTATTGTTTTAAAATACTTTTTAAGTTTTAGGTTTTAGGGAGAGAGAGATTTGTCTCTTGAACCCTTGTTCTTTCTTTTTCAATTTCGGTTTCTATTCTACTTTTTAATACTAATGTTTTTGATTTTGTTCATCATGCCTGAGTAGTTTTATTGTTGGAACTAAGGGATTTTCGATGGGGATTTATATGTTCGATGAGGATTCCATGAGCTTTTGAGCCGAATCTTAGAACTTTTTCTTCTGAATTCGTTTTTACTGCATGAGAGTAGCGTCATGAACTACAATCTGATCCAGATGCTTAGTGACACGAAAGTGTTCATCCGGTGTCAGATCTAGTTTGGGAGAGCAAACAAACATACGAGTGGAAACCTACCTATGGGCGATTTGTGAATGCTGACGAGTCTTAAACATAATGCATCTCTTCTTTTCCAGGGCCAGAGTGGAAACCTACTGGTCAGGGTTGAGAGAGATAGTTGTCTATGATCACGACAGTGGCGTATTTATACGTCCGTGACTCCAGTTTGAAAAGTTTAAGCTAAGATCTTATCAATTTTACTCTCTAGCAATGTTTTGAATCGTTCGTACCCCTGAGAAAACTTCCCTGAACCCCAACGCTTTCTTCCTTATAGATTCACACCGTTTTTATTTCATGTTTTAGTTCAATATTCTCATTCCTTTTTAATCGATTTTCATTTAAGCAATTAGATTAGCCGTTTTTCTCATTTTTACCCGTTTTTGTTAAGTTTACTTATTAGGTCATTTTAATTCCCGTAGTTTCTTTTTAGATTTCGTTTTTACATTTTAAACACACCACCAAAACCCCCCCCACAAAACGGTTTGGTTCTTGACTTCCTTACTTTATATTTCTTTCGAAGGCTTTTGCAGGAAATATCCTATTGCCGGGGAAGGCGCGCGTTTTCTTTTCCGCAAAACCCAAGAAAGGTTGGTAAATCGACTCTAGAACCCCTTTTTCTGCATATTTCCATTTTTCGGTTATTTTGTTTCCATTTCAGAAGATATGGATCCCATAAATCGAAATACACACTATGAGGAAGGTTTCTATAACACTCCTCAAGCCACCAGACGCAGAGAGAAGCAGTACTTACGCGATCTCTACGAAGAAATTCAAACCGAAGACTACAGAACGTTCCAGAACAAGCCCTACGTACATAAGAAAACAAGTAAATGATGCATATCCTTCCACATTTAGAACTCTCTACTTCTTTTTTGTAAGCTCAAAACTCCCTCTTGTCGATATAGTACCATTTCGGATCAGAATACAACTTTTCTTAAACAGAGTCCCAGTTTTCTGATTTTCGTAGGAGAGTTTTGGTGTAGCTAAAGGAATAAGAAAACAAGTAAATGATGCATCTCTTTCCACATTTAGGACTCTCTACTTCTTATTTGTAAGCTCATAACTGCCGCTTGTCAATATATGATAACTAAGAGTTTTCACTCTTTGAAGAGGTTATCAATACCCCTGTCCTTGTAGTACAAGGGGTTATCAAACCAAACTTGTAGTGGAGACACTAATCTATGAAACTTGTAATCTTAAGTCAAGAGAGAATGATAGAGGTTTTGACTAAACTATTTAACAAGTAAATAAGCATGTAAATGAAACAAAAGATGAGATTTAAACTAAGTGAAGATGCAAATAAAAAACAAATGATTCGGATGATGATAATATATGATAAAGGCAGAAGCTTTAGACAGGATACTTGACTCGGGTGCTTCCAAGCTAAACTAATGGGTTAATGAATCATTTTATCAAGCGATTTCATTTAACTTTGAACTCAAGGCATGTTAATCTTCTCATGAAAGTATTAAACATCTAAACTGATCCTCTTTCATACCAAAATCCCTTTTGAGAAGCACGAATCAGTCAGCAATAAGATTCAGTTCAAAAATGTCATTTAAGAGAACAAAATATCACTCTCGCGATGAAAGACTCTTAAACCTTAACCGAGTGGTTCAGACATTTCTACAAACACTTTTGATGCGAGATATGTCTCAGATCTGAACCTCAAGTGATGTGCTTGGATCCAGCCTAGAGATCTCGTCGGTTAAAGAATGAAACATGCAAGACTAGACACCTAAACCCATTAATCTTTCTTGAAAGCACCCTAATCTACCTATCTAAAGCCGCTTAAACGACTACTCACTGATCATAACGAGCTCACTAAGTCCTTTGCAAGACGTGTAGCTTGTCATGATAAGGAGTTTGATGTTGGATGATAAAAGAAATAAAGAAAGAACAAGATTCTGATGCAAACACGAGATATTGGATTAGATTAATCAAGTTTCACAAAAGAGGCAAGTTCTTAGAGCTAAAAAAACAGATAAGAGATAAGTTGATTAGGTTTTTGGTCCTAAAATGTATTTATAGCAAAGGGAAAGTGTCGCGGGTCAGCCCGGAACAAACCGGGTATTGAGCCGCCTTCTTGGGTGGATGGGTGAGTGCCACGGTGTGTCGGAGAGTGAAGCCGAGGTCTTTGTGTTGAGGAGTGCACGTGAGTCAGGATCCAAATGAAGATCTAGTGAAAAACACGTCAAGAACATGCATGAACCCTAGTCTTTGATCCGTCTTCACGTCTGTGTTCTTGAGCCGTCTTGTTCTTGATTCTGGTTTTGTGACAAGGGACCTCGCCATAAAATGTCGCGGGGCTTGGTAGTCGAGGGGTTCGGGAGAACAGAGTCCGGCATGCACGCCGAGGCCATTACACCGAGGTGCACGTTCAACACTTAGTCGTTTCCAGCTTCATTTCTTACGTGTGCATGCCTAGATCCCAACGTGCCGAGGCGTCAGCACGAGGTCTAGTTCAAAATACTTCCAAGATATGAGCCTTGACTTGAGCAATGTCGAGGTGATGATGCCGAGGCCTGAGAAAATACTTAGCGCGTATCGCAGCTCATTTAGGCTCGTATCGACCATATTGCCTTCCGGAAACAGTAACTTTCAACACACGACTCCAATTGCTCTGAGACCAGTTCCATAGTCAAGATGACTCAATAAGCTCGAACTTTGGTGAAGAAACCGTCGGAGCTTGGGAAGTGGAAGGCTTCCTGGATTTCGCATCTTTGCACTGCATCGGATTCACCGGAAAATAAGCTTTTGGACCGAGGTGAACTCTGGAGACCTTATCTTTCAAACCATTGGTCCGAATTGAGTGATTCCAAACGTTCTGAGAAGAGCTTTCACAGATCTCAAAATTTGATGAAGGCTCCGTCCGTCGTGATCTTTGAAATCCGCTGTTTGGTTCTCGGGTACGTGCAATGCTGGTGCTTCTTCCGAAAGCCGTATCTCTCTCCTCACTGGTCCGAATTGGATGATCCCAACTGTTCCGGAATCTTTGCTTGATTATCTCCAACTTTGATAAAGACCCCGCCAACTGATTCGGACCGAAAGGTTCCCCGGATTGCTGATCTTTGAAACGCGCGGGCAAGGACAGGTTTTGGTCGAGAAAAGCTTCCCGCGGTAAGGAAAATGACCGAGGGCTATGTACCGCGGTAAGCTTTTTAGCCGTAAAATTCTCTCGCCTCGGCCAAAAACTTAACCCGTGGTAACTTGCACCCGACATTCGTCTTTGGTCGATTTTGGTCGATCGGTAAGGGTTTTGGCCGATAATAAGCGTTCGGTAAGCTTTTTGACCGAGGTTTCTGTCCAGCCAGTACGTGTTTTGGCCGAGAAATTCCTCCAAGCGATTTTCACCATTTTTGACCCTTTTC